TTTTGCGATGCAACTGTCAAACGCACAGATCTGGTGAATTTCAATCAGATTCGCAGAGAGCTGTTTACGAAGCCACTTTGAAGCAACAGGCTGGTCGCAATTCAACGTTATGATCGCAAGTTGGCACCATCTTAGCTTCAGTCGCATTGAATCTGAAATAAAACTTTTCGCTTCAGAAATTGACCTTTTTGAAATTTCGCATTATTTCAGTTAGTGGTCTAATTCCTACGCATCCAACAGATCGACAGGCAGTTCCAATCGCTTGACATTCAGTTGTGACTGTCCGTTCCCATGAAGGTAAGTTACTTCAATTCATAAAATGATACTGTACAAAAGTGAGAAACATTCAATACACAACTTGACTTTACTTTCAAGAATATGAATCAGATATGGGGCGATTAGATTGTGACTAAAAAATTACATCTTCACGACAATCATGATTAAGAACAGGCACGGAATGTTACTGTAAGAATGTCCAAGAAGATGCCTATAAATCATGTGACTGCATATAAAATACAACTGAAACGGTTTCTACTAATCTGTTTATAACTGCACAAAAAATCCAAGAAGCCGATCGTAAGAAAGGAGCGATTGAAAGGACTATATCTACTGCGTACTTAACCAATCTAAAACCTTAACATAACACATTAATCATATGCTAACTCTAACTAAAACGTTTAAGCCTAATTTGACCGTAACAGAATTCAAAGACATTAAATGTTTAAGTAAACAGTAATATTATAAATAGAAAAGCAGATAAAGAAAATGCATAGTGATTATAGATAGTTTAGATCATGTGAACAAACATCACAACATGTTCCACATGACCCGTCGTCTATATAACGACCCTACATTTATCTACACAAATCTACGCAAACTTCGAAAACTTGTATACGATACTGTCGACCACCATCACATAGACATCAACTTCTTCAAATTTATAAACTTCGAAATTGTAACAATCTGGCATCGTAATTTTACAGTTTGCCTCAAACACATAAGCTTAATGTTTAATTCATACCATATGTCTTTACTATGAATTGTTTTTTACAAAGGTCTGTAAACTGACCGCGAAAATAATCGGATCATCAACAAATTCAAAAACAAGATTAAGGAAGTGAACCAGATTAAGCCCGCTGAAGGAAGCATTACGGTCATTTACGACGCTAAAGACTTTTTTACTATTATTCTCGGGGACGTTACTATCAAACTGATAGGTAAAGTTATTCAAGGAGAAAGTTCACTTAAACAAATTACAAATATTGTAGTTAACTGTACCATAAAGTCAATAAACTTTTGCATCGTAGAGACTAATTATTTCTCCTTTGATGGAGGTTTCTTTAAACAGCCTAAAGGAGCATCCGTGAACAGCCAACTTTCCCAAATCCTCACCAAAATCTTTAGAAAATTTTGGGAACATGGGCTGAGTTAAGAACCCTGACCTGATTCCAAGGATTTTCAAAAGATATGTTGACGATATTTATTAAACCTCCTCAGTAGCCTCTACTCTGAAACTATCGAGGCAACGATAGAAAGAGAAAAGAGAATATAAAACTCTTTGACCTGAGGTTGATGACCGGGTCTTATCGATTTCTGAAGCAAGCAGTGACAAAATATTACGTCTGTTGGAGTTCATCGAACGACCTTTCAAGGTATTTCACTCGTCAATCGACCAACTCATGTCAGTAAGGTGTGCCTTCAGTAGCCACGACTGTACTGTTTTGCCATGATGTTTTTCCACGATTTAACGCTGATTTTGCTGCAGTTTGACTAGGAAACTGTGACGCTATAAAGAGCATTGGTAAAGTGCTATCGGCAAAGGTTCGAAGTCACACTAAAGATTCATTACGGTTGGTTCCTGCACCATGAGCATCATTCCTCAGAACTGCTAAGTGATTGGTGGCAAAATCAGCGGTTGGAACATTAACCATTACGATCGCACAGGTTAGAATGCGTTTTTCTAGGTCATTTTTGTGTCACTGAGCCGTATAACTGGACAACGTTATCTCGACTGCGTCTGTACAAATAAACTGCAAAAAACCTGAATTTTTTCGTTGGTCACGGAACGGCATAAATATACGTAAAAAATAGAAACGCATCAGCTCGTCGTCGCCTACGCAGCGAAATATGTCCTGAGAGCACTCTCGGTTAAAGCAAAATCGCTGAGTCATACAGTAATCTGATTTATGATCTCTAAATGCATGTTGAGCAGCTCGCTGATAACATTTAAATCACGACTCACATAAAGCTTCAATATTAATACCCAATTCTCATATTAGAATATCTAATAGACCGAGAGAAACAAGACTGTTACGACATGTCTCAAACAGTCATTGCTATCATTCATACGCTATGAAATATCTGCTAATCGGTTCCAAATTAAAACAGCATGAATTGAGAATTAGACTTTGAGACTCGGCAGGGACAAAACTACCGGTTTGGCAAGTGGTAACTTTGTGTCTACATTAAATCATCTCTTTTTAAGTTAAGACAAAATGGATCTCCGATGAGATATAAGTCTCGATTTACCATTGATTCGTCTTAAATCCGCAATATCTAATAAAACATTTTCATTCGAGTGAAACTTAAAACATCTAGCACAATAACTGGCGAATAACCTTTGCCGAAGACAAACAATATTTTATGCCACTGTTCAACATCAATTAAACTTCGATCAATTATTTCTCATTTATACAGTATATATTTACATTTACCATTTATTTATATCAATTTAATGTTCTCAAAAATCTACTCTAACCATTCTCATCGCGGAAAGCTAACAATCAAGGTCCTTTTGATATAATGGAAACGCTTACTGGGGAGAAGAGAGTTCAGTCTGCCAGTTCATATGCCTTTCGAGACAATTATGTCTGGAAAGATATTTTGGCTACTACAGAAGGATAGTTATGGGTGGATCATATTCATATTAACCCAATAGTACGGAGAAAATTGTTTTGCGTCGTACCGCCAACTCTTCGAAATTAGTATAGTGAATCATGGGGAATCTACGTATAAACCCGAAGATCCCTGATGATAACGCGTAAAATTCAGAAACTGGAAGAAGGTTTACAGCAACGTTTTTATGATCAAAACCTGCGACAACATACTAAGCTTTTCAAAGCTGATAGACTCGTGTAGTCAACATTTTGAACGGAAAATGAGATTTGTCGTAAACAATTCTTGCAATAGCCACCCTGGTACAGGGAAACTTGTTCACAGAAGTCGATGACCGATTTGATAACTGTATCGTCTGGCTCAGTAATGGATGTTCGCGCTAAGAGAGGCGCAAAGCTATCAACCGATCATCACCTTGTTGTTGGCAGGCCACACTGTAAGAAATGGGGTACCATAGGATGATCTGGTGGCACGAGCAACGGAAGAATCAAATGGCAAACATAATCTTCGGTAGACACGAGAGTGAAATTTGCTAGCAACAACGCACGACGGTT